AGAGGTAACAGATGTCAGCTGCACCTTGTTGCACCATTTGAGGGTAGAAACAGATGTTGTTTGATTTCTTGTTTGTACCGCCTTACAAATTTTTATGGCAGCACAAATGCAGAATGAATAGACGTTGATTCCTTTTGTTTGTGCCACATGACAGGGAAAATTAGTAGCACAGCAGGTAATAATAGTCATACAATCACAGACAATGAGGGCTGGAAGGGCCCTCAGGAGGTCACATCAAGTCCAACCCCTGCTCAAAACAGGACCAGCCCCAACTAGGTTATCCCAGCCAAGGCTTTGCCTAGCCACGCCTCAAAAAACCTCCAAGGAAAGAGATGCCACCGCCTCTCCGGGTAACCTGTTCCGTGCTTCACCACCCTCCTACTGAGGAGTTTCTGCTAATACCCAACCTAAACTTCGCTGGATGCTCCTTGTCCTGCTTTATTGTGGTGGATGTCTGTTTGGCCAAGCAGAGGAAACCCCGCTTCCCCACTGCCCCCACTGCCCCGGAGCAGCACTGTGGAGCTGAGACTGGCCGGAGGGCAGGGGGGGTGTCCCAGCACCCCCCCACTGCCACAGACCCCACCGTGGGTGACACGTGCTTCCCCACTGGGTGGGGGAGCGCCCGGCATCCCCTGCTGCCCCAGACCCGTGGGTGGGGGGAGGACCAGGCCTCCCCACCCGCCAGCCCGTGGAGGTGATGGAGCCTGGAAGCACCTTTCCCGCCGGCCCTGGGGGGAGCAGCGAGGAGAGGAGGTGTCTGCCACCATCAGCACGGGGCGGGGCACCGCCACGAAAGACCATGCTGCTTTGCGGAGATGGCTGCGCCCTCTGGAGAACAGGGCAGGGCGGCAAATCCAAGGCCAAAGGGCTGGCTTAGACTAGGGTCCCGGTGCGGAGCTGGGGGGCACCCCCAGAGCCCGGCTGTGCCTCAGTGTACCGCTCCAGCAGGAGACCCATTTGTTTTCCCCGGCACGTGGCAGAGCGGAGGCCGCGCGGCTCTGCCCTCGTGCCGCCCGCGGACGCCCCAGAGCGGCACAACGGACACGCCCCGCCCCGCCCCGCACAACCCACTCACCCACGACCACTCGCATGGCTCGCGGGGGGCGCACTGCACATGCGCCGTCTGGGCAGGAGCGGAACCGCGCGTGCGCGGCTTTCGGGCCGGGCGGGACTGCGCATGCGCGGCTTTCGGGCTGGGTGAGGCTTTCAAGCGCAGAACGGCGGCGCCAGGATGCGTGCGCAGCGTGGCTGTGCGCGCGCGCGCGCTCTGTGCGAGCAGCAGCAGTAGGGGCTCGGCGCAGGGCGGCGCATGTAAGGCCGACGGGCTGGGCACGGAGAAGGAGGGCGATGTTCAGGTCTCCCTGTTGCTCCACAGTACACTTCTTGTTTCAGCGGGGCTGGAAGGAGCCTCCCCGGGTCTCGTAGTCCAGCCGCTTCAAGGCAGGATCGTCCCTGACTAAACCCTTCTGTGCCCGATCCCAAGCAGCACGTATCGTGCCGTGCCGTGCCGTGCCGTGCCATGCGTACGTGGCGTGGCAGGATGTGCAGCATCGGATCGGGTCGGATCCCTCCTGTCATTATCAGAACAAATGGCAGACACGCGCCCTGATGCTTCATTTGTCCGAGATGAAAGGGAGACTTCCTGAAAGACTCGAAGACTTGCTGAAAGAGCTGTACGAAAGGGGGAATGAGAGCATGGGTGGTAAAGACACTCCACAGCAATGTGCTGGTATCCTTGTTTCCCAAGGGCTCAGTCCTGTCACTGTTACAGCATTTTTGTCTTAAAATTGATTTCTGTGGGCAATGAAAATATATTGTTAATGGGGAAGATGATACAAGTTATGATTTAGAGATGTTTCTTAATTTAGAAAAGATGGGAATTGGGAGATGTTTCCTCAGGGAGTAGCTGCAGTCAGAAACTGAGCACATCTACACTTTCTTTAACGCACCTTAAGTACTGCACATTCAGTTTAGTACTTCCTTAAAAATGGACTAAAAATGCAGTACCTAGAGTTACTGCGCAGTAGTGCTGGCACATGGTTATTTAGTGATGCTTACTGTGCATTAGCCTAATAACACTGCGCGGTAGCTATTAGCGTGGTTTGTGCCGTGACACACTACTGCACAGTGTTATTAGGCTAATGCATAGTATGCATCTCATGTAGTCACTCCCACTAAAGATCTGACGAGGCTTATCTACAGCTGCATTGAGTTTTTACATTTTCTCATCCATGCCTGGCTGTCTTACCAGTAATTATTACAGCCATCCTAGCCCCTGCCCGCTAGGACACAGGCTCTTGTTGGTAACAGCCTGCAGGTTCCTACAGCTTGGGACACAAGTTGCAGTGGGGATGATTTGGAGGGTGACACCAGGAAGCTCTATGTGTTGGAGAATTTCTCAATAGCTCCAAAACAAGCTGCACCTCATGCTTGCAAGCAGCACCATGGAGCAAATGGCACTTCTAATAAAGATCCAAGTTCTTGTAATCCTAATAGAGTTTTTATTATTGCAAAGAGCTCAGTGCGTGAAACATACTGACAGTAGATGAGAATCACAGTGCAGAGTATGTGATTTAAAGTATCACCCACACAGCAAAGAGGGAGCAGGATGCCTGGAGAGACTCAGACCCCCTGCACATTTGGATTTCCAGTCAAAGAACTCAAGGAGCAGTTTGGACGCAACGGAAAGAAGAGTTGACAATGCTTCCTCTGTTTCACTGAAAGTTATTCCCACACCTGAATTGATGTTCACCTGAGTTAACATACCCAAGCTAATGTTTTTAGCTAGAGTTAAAAACAATCTGTGGGGCTTTGAAATAGGAGTCACATCATCAGGAGCAGCTAACAGCAGAATTGCAGAAGAAAGAATGGCTTGATTAGCAGAAGGCCAAGACATTAAAAAGGAGAAAGGTTCATTAACACCTATCGAATGAAGAGTTTAGAAGGAATCAGGGAGATTATGATTTCATAGATTTCATAGTCATTAGGGCTGGAAGGGACCTCAGAAGATCATCGAGTCCAGCCCCCTGCCCAAAGGGCAGGAAGTCAGCTGGGGTCACAGGATGCCAGCAAGATAAGCATCCAGTTTGCTCTTGAAGGTGTTCAATGTAGGCGCTTGAACCACCTCCGGTGGGAGGCTGTTCCAGACCTTGGGGGCTCGGACAGTAAAGAAATTCTTCCTTATGTCCAGCCTGAAACGGTCTTGTAGTAGTTTATGACCGTTCGACCTAGTCGTCATCCCTTGGGGTGCTCTGGTGAACAAACGTTCCCCCAGATACTGGTGGTCACCCCGGATAAACTTGTAGGTGGCCATCAGATCACCCCTGAGCCTGCGCTTTTCCAGGCTAAAGAGCCCCATGGCTCTCAGCCTGTCATCATAGGGTCTGCTTCCCTGGCCTCTGATCATGCGCGTAGCTCTTCTCTGGACTCCCTCAAGCTTCTCCACATCCTTTTTGAATTGTGGAGCCCAAAACTGGACGCAGTACTCCAGCTGCGGCCTCACTAAGGCCGAGTACAAGGGGAGAATGACGTCCCGGGATTTGCTTGAGAGTACAAGGGGAGAATGACGTCCCAGGATTTGCTTGAGAGTACATGATATATGATATATATATATATATGATAGATATGCATTCCCTTCCCTTCCCCAATTATTAATGGATTTTCTTTCTCTCCCTCTCTATTCCCTATAGACAAGCATGAGCGAGCTCAGACTTAGGATAAGCTTTAACATTTTTATTTTGGTAGCAAGTTTT